TTACATCTTTTACTTTCTATATTTACATAGAAAACAAATCCTAGAATATCTCACAGATTATGACTAAATCAAGGCTTTCAATGACCAAATTTCCAACAGTTAGTGTTTGGGAAACCAAACCTTATGGAAGATTTGGAAGAGATTTTAGTTAAATTACCTTTGAAATTGATCGATTGAATATGTTGTCTTGTTGTGTCAATGTTTCAAATAACAGGTGAAGAAAGTATCAGAACAGCCTGGCCCCCCTCTTTTTACCAATGATATTATCAGGCGCTATCCAGCATTAAAGGGTGGGAAATTTTGGAAAGAGGAACATGATTTGTTGTTACTGAGTGCTGTTCTAAAGTTCGTATCTCTGATGTTCTTGGACATACACTTAATGGCTGCACTTATATTTCATGTTTGTGTTTTTCTTGTGTAGTTGATGAAATATTATTGACTGGGTTATCAGAAAATTGATGTTTTTGACTGCCAATTTTGGTGTTTCTAATAGAGGAGATGTACTTTTGAAGATGCATCTTCTCTATAATGTCTGTTGACATATTTGTGTCCTGTTTTTTGTACTCACAAAGTCTAGTGAAAGTGGGACTGGGTGCCCTAATGCCTATGAACCAATTCAAGTTATAGCCAACGATACCTATTTTACTACATGAAATTCGTAGATGCGAAAAAAAGTAAAGCATGCCAACAACATTAACTTCAGATATTGATATTTACGCATAATAAGCTATACTGGGACCTACGTTTCTTTGGTTAGCTTGCTGGGACTCGTCTGTTATGTTTCGTTGCTAGTTGCTTCTGCCTTACGAATGTAACTAAAGACATCCATTGAAATTATTGAGTAACAATTTGCATACAGTCATGATAGCCATGGCAGACAATCAATTTTATGCATTATATTGTAGACTCTTGCTTTATCTACTGTAATGCAATTCATATGCAGCTATGCATCAAGATCCGAATTGTCCATACGAATATTTTACCACTTATTTCCTTATTTGATTGTTAGGCATGGGTATGGAAGATGGCAGACTATTGTTGATGATAAAGACCTGAGGATTCAGAAGCTCATTTGTCGAGCTGAATCTTCCCGTTATAAATCTTCCTGTTCCAGGGCAAGGTGGTTCTCAAGTGCAGCATGGAGTTAATGCAAGTAACGCGGAATCTAGTGGAAACCAGACTCGTGTAAACGACTCAGGGAATGGCGTAGGATGTGGGATAAACCAGGGAGTTACTGGTGCTGCGAACCAAACACAATCGTACCCGGATTCTTCCATTTTGTATCATTTTAGAGATATGCAGAAAAAGCAGGTTGAATATGTCAAGAAAAGGGTGCTTCTTTTGGAAAAAGGGCTCAATGCTGAAACTCAGAAAGAATACTACGTAAGTTCAATTACTTCTAAAGGTAGTGTTCTATGAATTATAAATGGCGCCATTACTTCCGACTAAGGTGTTCAATTACTAGAAGTTCTTGTAGATAATCCGTTTGGTCTTGTCAGATCGTTGTCCGCATGGACAATCTTCTAGTTTCTTGTACCATAAATCTTAAGTTTCATGTTAAATCTATCATAAACTTTAATATACTTGCTGACTTACCGCTTGCTCTCGTCCATAATTCCGCTCTTAGGGTGAACTGAACACAAATGAGGGAACAAGTGAAGAGCCAGAAGGTGGACAAAGGGCTGCTGACATTCCAAGTGCAAGCTCAAGAGAGATGCCCTCCATAGTGGTTGAGCAGATACCTCCAATAGAAGTCATTGGTAAGCTGTAATTTCTTCGAGCATAAAACCAGTCGAGAAAAATTATTACCTACATACAATATATCAGATATCATTCTCGTGTGTAACTACCATTGTCGTATACAATACACGCTAAATTCGTCATGGTGTCTGAATAAGAACGATAAGATATTAGACAGCCAATCACCCTCCTGTCACCTTTATATGACGAGAATTATCCTTGTGCAGCATCGGCAGAAATTTCTGCAGCTGCATGCAATGATGACGCAGACCGGCTAGCATTGCCTCAACATTTCAACGAGGTACGTGATCGTGTATGAAGAGGCTTGAATTTGGTAGACCAACTGGATAGGACGTTGTTGCAATTTGTTCAGCGTCTTAGAAATCAAAATGGAAGCGAGCTTGAGGATCATGTTTTTGATTAATAACTTGATTTTCTTTTCCCGATCCGTTGCAGATATGCAAGATCTTGGAGGACAATCCTGATGAGAATCAAGCAAGCCTTGATTTGAAGAAGAACCTCCGTTCTTTGGACGAAATTTGTGGGGACGTATCTCGGATTCTTTCCCCTAATCAACAGTCTGCCATAGGGACAGAAGTTGGGACGGAGGACTTGGACAATGTGATTATAGAAGAAACAGAGGAAGAAGATGGCAGTGCGGCTTCTGAAACTGAAAGGGGAAGCACCGAGAAAGCCGAAGCAGCAGCCGCGGTTACCGTGTTGGACGATTAAAAAGCATTGGTCTTTAAACTATCCGGTTAGACTTGGCATTTACTAATCCGTTTTGAGATATTTAGGAAACCCAAGGATTTAGGTAATTTAGTCGCAGCTAAAAGCTTTAGCTTTGCAGACATTTCAAGAGACCATATCTCATTGCTGAACTGATGAATGTATGGATCTCTTTTCTTTTTCATAATTATAAACCCTTTTACACTAATTATATGTTTTATGTAATATCTGTGTAATTATGTCATCTTCATGCGTTGCATCATCTCATAATTATATGTATGGGGATGGAACGAGAGGAGAGGACCGAGAGGAGAGAACGAGGGCATTTGCTTCCTTAAAAATTTTAAATTGGCTTAAATCCTCGAGTGTTTCTCTAGTTGTAATCTTTCAAGAAGATAGAATTCTCTTGAGTATAAACTCTCTAATGGGGTAAGATAAAATAAGAGATAATCTATTTCTTGGAGATTGTAACCTCTTTGTATAGTTGATTTAAGAATCAATTATTGTCTGTACTTATAACTTTGTCCCTCGTCAAATTATAAATATAACTTTAATAGTATATATTTTTTTCACGATACTTCTAATAATTTTATAATATAATTTACCACTTAATTTATTCATATTTTATGATAATGAGATACATTAAAATATATGTGCTCGTAATTATGAATTTTAATTCAATACTTTTGTCTGAATCACTTGGTAAGAAAAATATAAAAACCCAACAATAAGTTGAAAATGTGGACCAAGTTATGCCTTAGTTTTGCACAAATGCAAATCTTTGTTGAACAAAGGCCAAAGTAATGTTCTACGGTCAGAAATGGAATCCAGCACCGACAAGATTTGGCCATTTGTCACCACGTTTTTCGTTGGATCCTTGTCCATTCAGTTTTGCCTTTTTTAAGGTCACTGACCACCACAGGGACCCACACAAACAACATAATTTTGCCTTTTTTAAGGTTACCGATCCACCACAGGGACCTACACAAACAACAGAATTGTCCCACTCTAACACCTAACTTGTGCCTACGGTTGAAAATATTATGATTTATAATTAAACTATCACTTTCGATCTATTTTAGTATATAAACTTAAAACTATAGATAATGTTTAGTTTTTGTTTTATTTCGTTACTTCACCGTTTTAAACTTAATGGGGTGATTTGCCGGTGTCACCTTTTTTATAAATAAATTATATTATTTATCACTCAACTATCTTCTTTCTTTTATTTTGGTCACTAAAGTTTAAAATTTTTAATTTTATTACTTAACTTTCAATTACTCCTAATTTAATCACTCTAACTTTCAAATTTAATTTTTTAGTTATATATTAATAAAAAAAAATCATATCACAAAAATTATTGATAAAATAAATGAGTGTGATCAAAAATATAAGCAATTTGAAAGTTAAATAGTTAAATTGAAATTTTTTAAACTTTAGTACCCAAAAAAGAGTTATTAAAACAAATGAGAGTGATTAATAAAATTATTGGTTAACTATATTGAGAGTGATTAATAAAATTATTGGTTAACTATATTTATTGTTCACGTGACGAGTTTTATATGTTCAAAGGAATTACGTGATATGTGTCATGTCATTACTTATATGTATATTATACATGTCACACTACATTTTTTATATGTAATATATATCATGTCATCATATTAGATATATATTATGTGACACGTCATTACTTTAGATACATAACACATATCACATCATTTACTTTAAGTGCACAAGTATATGTCGTATCATCACTTCACACATAAAATATATATCACATCATCACATTTGAGACACAACTTATTAAATTACAGTAAATATTAACTGTTAGTCAAATAAATTTCTATCCAACCATAAACTATTTTGACTCAAAATGAAACATTGGATTGAAGTATTTCAAACAAAAAAATTATGAACTAAAATCACTATCCAATCAAACATTAGGGATAAATTTTGGCATTATGCCATCAGAAAATAAAAACTGAAGTGTTGGTCTAATGTGTTTTTTAGTCCCTTTAATATATTAAAATTCGAGATTTAATCATTTTGCTTAAATTTGGTACAATTTAAGTAATCTTCGATTACAACCAAACAACATTACCAAATAAAGAGATATGCATCAATCCATCAATCTCTATCTATAATTTTGTTTAACTTAATATAAATTTTTTTCTCATTTGTACTATGTTCAACAACAAATGGGTTAGTGAAACCGTACATGAAAGAATAATAAATAGAACGGAAAATTACGCGTTTAATTCTTTAACTATAAGTTTTGACCCGTTTTAATACATAAACTTTTTTCCTTTAAAATCACACTTAAAGTTTAGTTCTTGTTTTATTTTAGTACATCGTCGTTAAAAACTTTGATTTTTGTTTCATTTTAGTACTCTCGTTCAAAATTTAACGTTAAGTTTTGAAAAATAAATGTTAGATATGATTTTAAAAAAAATAAAAATTTATGTATTGAAACGGATCAAAGATGATAGTGTAGGTATTAAATGCCTAGTTTATCCAAGAAAGAATCATCACTTTTTCCAGGCATAGACGAGCAAAGAGAAACCGGTAGGAGCATTTAACTCACTTTCCTCAACGCTTTCCCAATCCATTACCGACGAGCTTCCTCCCGATGAAGCCGAAGACGTCGAAATCGAAGAAGACGAGGAGCTTCTAGCCGTCGTCAACAAGCTCCTACTCTTCTTTCCGCTGCCAGGTGAATCCGGCCGACACGGAACGACGCCGTTTTTCTCGTTAAAAGCACCACCACCCACCGGCGGCGCTACTTGTTCGAGAATTTCGGAGCCTCCATCTTCATCCTCGAACTTAAACGCAAAAACGGCATGTCCGTTGTTCGAATCCCGATCAAACAACCAGTTATACACGTCCCACGAAACTCGAATCGAGACCCCATCGACTTCAATCTTCTCGTTGCCTCTGAATTTCCATTTCAGATGCTTTATTCGCAATACCCTTTCGTCATCGACGCTGAAACAAAGCTCCGGACTGTCGTTTACCCTACATTCGATCGAGACCTCTCTCCTTTTGCCGGCAAAAATGGCTTTTGTAGTGTACGATTTGTTGCCAAAAAGGTGTTCCCTTCTAAAAACAAGAGCTTGGGCTTTCCCGGGGTTTTGTATTTGAGCTCTGGTTTTGGCGTAAGCTTCTCTGTTAGAATCGCCGACGAGAAGTATCATTTCCCCGTCAACAACGACGGCGATATAGAATCCAGATTCGGGTTCGGGCCCGGACCCGAATTTGGCCCTGGAGAAGTCCCAGAAGACGTGGATATTTGGGGTGGTGCTGAGTTTTTTGTTGCCGTATTTCTTCCAAAAAACGAAGGGTTTGATAAGAAAACGAAAAGAAAGGGATGAAGAGGGAGAGAAGTGAGAGGAAGGGTGGAGGTTGAAGATGATAGAACTGCCGAGGAAGGTGCGGGACCAGGTGAGGGAGAAAATCCCAAGATTTGTGTCGTAGAAACTTGTTGTAACGTCGGTTTTACCAGCCGTTTGCGGCGGCGGCGGCGGTAGCGACGCTTTGAACGTGTCTTCGTCTTCTTCGGCGGCGGAGGGGCTGAAGCAAGAAGGTAAGGAGGAGGAATGGTGCTGGCGGCGGTGGAGGGACATTATTTACTGATTTTGAGATTCAAGAGAGATGAGGTTGAAGGCTATATAGTAATACCAGTGGGGGTTTAAAGGAGACCGTATTCAAGGGGTTGGGGACTGAAATGTTAATTATCCCTTTTTCACATTATTTTTGACAAGTTTAAGTGCTTATACTATTTATTATGACAAAAATGGTAAGTAATCAAAAGAATAAATAATGTTGACTGAACATATCAATAAATTTCAAGTTTGACCAAACCAAAGCACTACTGATATATAATAATTATATAATAATACTCTAAATGTAATTAAACATATATATACATTTTTTAATTAATCACCGGTATCTGATCTATTGACCAACTAATATAGATCGAGTATTGCAGAGACGAGGGCGACCCTCCCAATCCAATTTGCTCCATTCACAAACGTCAGGATTCGAACCCTGACATAACTTAAGGGACCTAGTGTCTCATCTCACTAGACCAACTGATTATTGGTTATATATATATATGGTTCTAGACCCTAGGCTTGTAAACGAACTAAACGTTCATCGAACCGTTCGGAGGGAAATTCGTTTATTTATTAAACGAACAAAAATGAACAATATTTTATGCTCGTTTAATTAAATGAACGAACGCGAACAAAAGGCTCGTTCGTTTGTGAACTTGTGATAATCTATTTGTTTACGTTTTCTATACCCGTTCGAAGAGAAGTTCGTTTATGTTCGCTTGTTCGATTGAAGTCAAACGTATGAACATGAACATACCCTTATTCATGTTCGTTTGATTCATTTATAGGCCTACTAGACCCACTAAGGATATTCACATTCTTTTTACTCACAAATTTTCCTTACTTTCATCTCTAGATAAGATAAAGATTAGATCAGGAATTTATAAGAAAATAATACATGTATATTAATTATATTAATATTCATATATTTTTATTAAATATATTAATTACACTGATAATATGTTAAATATATTTCACTTATTTTTTTAAGCTATTCATCTTAGTTTTTTTTATTTATAATCATTCAATTATAAATTCTAAACCCACCAGAAGTATTTTTTTACCTTTCGAGTCTTCATTTCCTCTCTTGTAAGTAGGATTAAGATTGTATTTAGAATTTGTCGAAAGAGTCATGTTCGTCGGTATATCGAGTTATTGAATTGGCTAAGGTGAAAAAAATAAATAAAATAAATAGCCACGTGGAATATTTCATTATTTGATTATTACGTTGAGATAGATAGGAAGTTCATAATTATTTATTTATCCATAAATTTTGAAATTTGAATTGTGCGTGTGTGTTCAACGTGCATGAGATTTTCTACTTTGGCCTGCATTATTCATGAACTGGACCCGGCCGCCATTAGAAACCAAAACAGCAGCTAAACAGCACCCGGCTTTGCACTTGGGTTCTTTTCCTTCTTAAATCAATGATGACCAGGTTCAGGGATGGACAGAGGGAGGACGGGTAGGGTGATCGTGTCTCTTAAAAATTTAAAATTATCATGTATCTTAAATTTTTACATATTTTTATTGAAAATATGTTTTTGTCTTTTCTGAAATTTTATAAATTCAAGTTTACATCGTAAGTTCAAGTTCGTCCTATAACATAAAATCTTAAATCCGTTCCTAACTAGGTTATTATCAACAAATCCGTTGTTCCAATGGAATGGGGTATTGAATTTTTTTAAATAAGGTCAAATGTTTTAATCCTGATGATTGTGAAAGGAAAAAATTGGGTTGGAAATATCGTCCTGTGATATATCTTTATAAAACCATATATGAATTGGTCAAATAATAGATCGAATATAAGTAGTTAATTTAAAAAAAATTGACTAGGTTATTATTGCACCATATGTAATTATTTTTTTTAAAAAAAATTATAGCTGTATAAAAGTTTTAAATTGTATATCTTAAATTTATAATAAAATTTATTAAAAATATGTACCTCTAATATATAATTATACATTCGACTCTCTGTATATTTTTTTTGGAATAACTTAAGATTTTTTCGTGCAAATAATTTTTTAATAGTCTGAAATGATTATAACGTTGTATCTATTCAAAATCTTTCTTAACCATTGATAATATATATATATATATATATATACTCTACAAGCATACTTACTCGAACATTAATCTTCTTATAAGGATAACAACATTTTTTTTGAGATTTTATGTTTAAAATTTCGGTATAAGAAAACGGGGCAAAATTATTTGAATGGGGTGTTGAGAAAAAAAGATTAGTTGATATAAAATATTAGAAGAATATTTTCTCAACTAGGGTGATATGAACAGTGCACGATGAAAGACGCATGAAGCACGATGTATCTTCAGTTTCATCGAGAGAGATACATAGATTACAGTGCGCCTTTAACTTCACATGGAAGACAAATAAATACTAAACACGCATAGTATTTCCAACGTCTCCTAAAGACGTATGGTGATCCTAACGTCTTTCCCTTACCACGATAACAAGTGCCCTATTTCTGCAAGCAAAAATCTCCTTATTATTTAATATCTTTATTATTAAATATCTTTATTTAATTTATATTTTTTTCAAATAAGTTATTATGTAATTATTAACTTTCTCATTATTATTTCTTTGAACAAAAATTTTCATTATTATTTATATTAATGGTAAATCAGTATTATATAATTTTACCATATTTGCTTTCAATTAGGACAGCTGCTACCTCCACGTACTTCCAATTTGTTGGTCCATTGTATTTTCTTTCGATTCTGAAATTAGAGATTATTGTATGAATCAAACGATTTTAATGATAATAAAGATGATTATTATCGTTTAAAGTTTTATATTCGAGTACGATCTTTGTATGGTGTTTGGATATTTATTGTTAGATACTTGAGAGTCTTTTGAACAGATATTACATTATAAACATCTCATATTAATAAAAAAAATAGAGATGATACCGGGTAATACGAGTTTTTGATTGATTCAAATTTGATCTAATAAAATAATAGTAAAATTTGATTTTATTCGAGTTTAAAACTATTTTACTTCATTCAAAAATTTAATTAAAAATAAAATTCAACTCAATTTGATCTGATTTCACATATTTTTTAATTTTTATATAATATTTTGTCAAAATAAAAAAAAATAATCAAATAAAAATACTAATTTATTCAATTTAATAATATAAAAATAAATTAAATTTTACTAATATTATAATTACAATATTTTATTATATATATATATCATTAAGCTAAGGTGATAATAATTTTTTAATTATAAAAAATAATTAAAATTATAAAGAACATAAAGAAAATTAAAAAATCATTAAGAAATACCAAGTTTCCCTAATTAACATGTGGACCAAAGATACCGAGTTAAAAAATTACCAAATTAAAAAGTTAAGGTTGAAAGTAATAAAGTTTATGGACCATGTTTTAAAACATGGAAAATTTGAGGACTAAATTGACTTTATCCCAAAGGGTTAATTGAGAAGTCAAAAGGTCAAAGTGTGAAAAGATCCACGACTTCAACGTTGGATGCCAGACCGCGTCATACAATTCAGGCTGATCTCAAAGGTAAATAAATAAATAATTGAGGATCATTTCGCAATTTGACCATTTATGTATTTTATCTTAGTTTTAATTTGTGTTATATACAACAATGCCATCTAATCGAAGATTATTTGTTTAGTTTATCCTAATTTTAATTTAAGACTGAATTACTCTTTTTTATTAAGAAAATCGTACATATATCTTATATTGTATTTGTAATTATATCATTTTTATTATAATTATATTAAAATATTATATTTATTTGAAAATTTTTAAAATTTATTTTGTATAAATTTCAATACATTCGTATATTTATAATATATTTATGTTGTTTTTATATTATATCTACATATTCATATTTTTTACGAATGGGTATTGGTTTTAGTGATAAATAGCTTGATATTACTTAAGTAAGGTTTCGGGTTTGAGTCCTTATGTATGCAGAAAATTCTCACTAAGAGATTCATCTACCAAAGTCAATTATGTAAAACGGGTCGATCTCAACCATTTATTTTTACTATTCCGATAATCCTAAATCTACGTAAAACTAAAGAGTTTTACATTGTATTGATATCATACATGGACCGTGAAAAAAATACTTTACATGCGAGATTGTATTGGTATCATATATTTCGTTTAGGGTTTATCGTTATATGTTTTAAAGCTAAGATTTATGATCATTCAAATGCGTTAGATAATTCACGAATCAAATTTTCTCAGTGGTTAAAGGGATATTCGTTATCCATAGAAGTTTCGAGTTCGAACATCAGCAATTGCAAAACATTTGAGCGTCCATTATTAAATAATTTGAGTTCGCTAGAATAAATACATGTAGAGAAGTTCAACTTATGGAACAAGTGAAGGGAATACTTTTACTCACTTTAAACTAATACGCGCTTTTAACAATGTATTCAAAACGTTGAATCTGAATGTAACTACTTTTCCATTTTGTATAACGAATATGGTAGTTAGGGATGGGCACGGAATTCGGATTCAATGGATTTTGACTTCGGTTTTATATGATCGGGTGTTTCTCTTTAGAAGATCGGGTTTAGATCAAATCTTTTTATAAGTTTAGATCGGGGTGGATCAAGTTCAAATTTAGAGTGAAAAATACTTTTCTCGAGTCAGGTTAATCGAAAACTGACTCAACACAACTCATGTTCATCCTAAATCGAAGTTTCCTCCTATGGTTTATATAAGCTGATGTTGTCTTTGTTGTTGCTTGATGCTCGTCTGCTCTGCGCTTCCTTATTGTTCATTGTTGCTATAGTGTTTGTCCGACAGCAAAGTTGGTAAAATGTGTTCCTCTTCGAGTGGTTTGAACTGCTGTTGTGTTGTGGCTTCCTTCTCTTTCGTCCCGTCTATGGCCACAATGCCGGTAAAATGCGGAGTTGTTGGTGCCTTGTTTCGATCGATTTCGAGCAATGCCGATTGGCATTTATGTAGCTTTGCCGTCAAAGTCGCTGAGAGAAGCTCGGAGGGATGATGACTGGGGTGCATTTGGATTGTAAGGGATGTTCGCTCGAGCCCTCAGTCCTCGCATAAGCCTCGCCGCTTTGTCGTAGGCACGGGCCGGTTCGAACGTTCCTAACCAAACGTTCCATTTAGTGCACCAACATGGAGCGTTCCATTTAGAGCCCCATTGTCTTTGTGGGACACCAAATGTTTAAAAAAAGTGTTTGTGGAAATGCCTGAATGAGCAAACGAAGCAAGAGGGCCTATCAAAGATCAATTTAATAGATTGCAGCTTTCCGAGAAATGTTGAGTGTATAAGACTTTCTTTAAAGGATTTGTGGTGCGAAAATGGTATACATAGATCTTGAACGAAGGTAAAATAACTTTTGAGACGTGAAAACAATATACAAAAAATCTGTGCATATTAGGCAATGGAACTAATGTGGATGTATGATTTAATCGTTGCAACATCGAAGATCGCGTGGCAGCTTGTTTTCGAGTCATGTCCGGACGCACGTGTCAGTTTGTAGTGTCAAGGGACCGTAGGCTGTCTAACTCTTAGGGTCCCTCCAAGCTCCATGGGAACAAGAGGTACAAGTGAGTGCAGAACATCGGTTATCAACGGACGATAGCTCGGTTCCGGTTACACGCATAGCACTGCTACAGAGGCAACCTGATATAAGTGCTTCAGATCCATGGTATCTCTTATCATCGGATCGACGATGTTCAGGAGTTTGGATCTGTCGGTAACCTGAGGCATGGCCTGCATACATGAACAGGAACGCCATTAGATTTTCGAACATTCTTTGCTTTGTTTTCTTCACTTTAAGTAGTAGCATTAGATCAAGGCCTACCCCTGTGACGATCGATTGGTATTGGGTGCTAGTTTCTCTAATGGCTTTCCTCCCGGTAGAAGCTCCAGCAGCACAACACCAAATGCATAAACATCACTCTTATCCGTTTACCTAGAAAAAAGCAGATAACAATAGATTTAACCTTCTTATCAGTGTTTCCAACCGAGACCCCGTTTCCCCGAAAATTGCAGACATCGCATATTATAACAACTAAATATGCCTTGGGGTGGCAGCACATGGGGCAGAAAGAGTAACTTCACTTCAGCACATGGGCCTAAAGATACAGAATTTCAGAAATGAAATCCATAAAAGATCAGACAAGTAATCATTCATTTCAAGTTCTTACCACGTAGTTGAGTTTCCAAACAACCATTTTGCATCAACTCATAAACAATGAACCTTGTGTCATTGTCACTGCTAAAACCCAAAAATGATATTATGTTCGGATGCTGGAATCGACGAAGCAATTCGACGTCGTTCTGCAATTTTGAAACAATAATTCAACAGTAAAACACAAGAAAAAAGGAGCTTTCCCCCCCTGCAGAAATAGTACCTAGTATTCTTTTTCTGCATCTTGGCTTGTACGGTCAAGTTTCTTAACAGCAGCATAAGAAGCACCATTGAATTGAGCCTTGTAAACACATCCAAATCCACCTTTACCCAGAATATTACACGGATGAAACTTATTTCTAGCTTTTCAAGTACCTTACAATCTATAAAGGAACCATAACCCTCCTTCAAAACAGTCCTCATAGACTTAAATTTACCCAGAAATTGTGCCAAACCATTCCCTTTTTCACCATCTTCATTTAAAAAAAAAGAGAGAGCAAATCCTCAAACTAAAAGGTAAAATAGATATGGGTTTTAGCTGAAATGAAGATCACCTGAGGATTTTCTCAAATTCTTCCTGTAAAAAACCCATAAAGAAAACAAGAGAAAATTTCACCACCATTGAATCCCTGCTGTTTTCTTTTAACAGAACAAACATGAAATCTCAAGAGATAGAACAGGGAAGTAAAGGGTTCACGCTCAAAGAATTAAATGCACCGAGCTATGTGGTCGTTTTTTGAAATTTCAAAAAAAAAAAACCACAAATAAATGATGAAATGAGAACCAGAAACAAACGAACAGTTATCTCCACCGAGAAGAAAGGGCAATGGGCAGCTTCACGAGTGCAAAGAACAAGTACCAGAAACAAGTAAAAGAACAAATACCAGAAACAAGCAAAAGCTTCTTCACACCATGTGTTTTGTTTTCTTTTTTCTTCACACGATGATTCTTTTACAATTTAGAATTATTAAATGAATAAACATTTCCTGGAGACTCAGACTTTAAGAAAAAGATGATGTTTTTGCCTTCGGATATTGTGGAAATGTAGACTTTCTGGGATTTGGCTGTGTGTTTTTCTTGCGTTTCAGCTGTCCAACCATTTCTGTTCAGCCAAGAAAGGGGGGATAGCGCATAATTTCTTTTCCAGCGTTTCAGCTGTTCAGCCATGGAAGGAGCGGGGGGAGAGAGCAGTGCTGTCCAACCATTTCCCAACGTTTCAGCTGTTCAGCCATGGAAGAAGGGGAGAAGCGCACAATTTTTTCAGCATTTCAACTGTTCAATCATAGAACAGGGGAGAACAATGTTGTTTAGTGCCCCTCCAACTGATGGGTTGTGTACTGTTGGGCTTTAATCCATGGGTTTTAGCTTTATAGATAGTAGAGAAGATAAATGATCACGTTTGACAGTATTAATATATGATTAAAAAAATATTATCGATTTTTTATTATTTAAATAATAAAATTAATAAAAAATTATCAAAAATATTATTATTTTTATCGATTTTGGTAAAGTTTTATCGGTTTTGTTATTTTTTCTACCTGTTTTGTTATTGTTGAACATTTTACCAAAAATTTTAAAAAATAATGATATTTTAGGTAGAAATAATAATGTTTTAGTTAATTTTTTATCGGTTTTGTTATTTAAATAATAATAAAATTGGTAACACATTTTTTAGTCGTATATTAATATTGTCGAACTGTATAACTTCCTGAGTAGAGTATCGGGCCAACAAATTTATTCATTAAATTGATAGAACAAAATAAATTTTAATTTATATTTTAATTTTAATTTTTTTCGTCTGATTTTTTAACTTTTAATGAATTATGTATGTTGTTTTAATTCCTTTTGAGTTGTAATTTTATGTGAAATCTCTAGAATGTGTCACATAGTATATAATATATATTAAACTTAAAAATTATAAAATATAAAAATAAAAAGAATCTCAAAATAGTAAATTATTTAATTAAATAAAAAATGTTCAAATACCAAAATAAAATAATATAACTTGAAGGGTCAAACTACGATTTAGCCCATCAAATCGGCTTACTGAGGGCATCCTCCTACGCCATCCCATTCCTTAGGCGAAACGTGTACGTATAAGGTTCCTCAACCTGTCCTCCGTGAGATATCCGTCAAAGCCGTACCCTAATTGGAGGGACAGAAACCGATCAGGTTATGTCGGATTTTTACTCAACCTTATATGATTTGAAAAATATATATTATCCATCTGAATTTAATCGGACTCAAATTATATATCATTTACTTGATTTGATTCAATACGTAAAATATATATCTTTCATCTGATTTTAACTCGACGTAAACTTTTAAAGTATAAGTTCAATCCGATTTGATTTGGTATAAGATAAGGACTTAATTAAGAATAATAAACTTTTTTAAGGATATTACATTATTATTATTGAGTCCGGTCGAGTCAAATTTTTTTCACCCTCTATTTGAATCTAATTAGACCCGACCTCACCCCTTTAAATGTCTAATTTGACCTGATCCGAACCTGAATTATAATTTTTTTTAAAAATTGATCAGATCAAGTCGAAACCTATCGGTTTGACCTTAAATTGTCATCCCCACTGAAATTCCACAAACGTCCACTCAATTTCGACGGAATTACGAAACCTACCCTCAAGTCACGGGTGACTCTTGATTGCTTTAAAAAGCTATTCCGACGCGTGTCGACCTTACCCTGTGTAGGGATGGCAACGGGCCGGGTTCGGGTCGGGTATTGGTCCCCCCGTCCCTGTTTAAAAAACCGGTACCCGTCCCCGTTTAAAAAACCGCGGGGATTTAAACGGGGATCCCCGTCGGGTAATCGGGGAAAACCGCGGGGAAACGGGTATCCCCGTTTAGCATAAACGGTTATTTAAACGGGTATTGGGCCGGGTATTGGGCCGGGTATTGGGCCGAGAATCGGGTATATATATATATATTTAAATTAAATATATAAATATATATTTTTTATTTAAATTAAATTTATTAATATTATATATATATATATAAATAATTATTTTTAATATTTATCGGGTCGGGTATCGGGGCGGGTAATCGGGGCGGATAATCGGGTAATCGGGGCGGGGATTACCAAAACTGTCCCCGTGCCCGTCCCCGTTTAAAATAAATGGGTTTTCCCCGTCCCCGTCCCCGTCCCCGTTTATCATCCCCGAACCCGACCCGTTTAATTCGATTTTCGGTTTTCCCCGTCGGGTTCGGGTTTTTTTTGCCATCCCTATCCCTAACCCTGTGCCAGCCGTTAGATATTTTCGGAACTCCTTTAAGGGAAAAAAGGCGGCCGCTTTCTGCTTTTGACTTTACGGGAACTTTATAATCTTTATATCTTCTTTACTTGCATATGAAGAAAATTTTTCCCCTTTAGTGGCCCACATTCTTAGATTATATGTCTAGAACATTTTTTCGTTAAATATTAATTAAATGTTTAAAAAATAAATAATTTTATGGTAATTATTTATGAATAATAAAATTAACTTTAATTAAAAAATTTGATTAAAAATTTCAATAAATTTTATCAACAATAACTTTAATTAAATCAACTTCAATTATTTTGAGCTAATCTAATTCGATTTATTCAAATAGTCATCTAATAAGGATAATAAGACTGGAGTAAAGTACATAAACGGTCTTCTAAATATGAGGCACCTTTGAGTTTATCTATGATTAAAATTTATAAAATAATTTAAAAAATAGGTGATTGTTTTGTGGAATTCATCAACCAACGAAGAAACTTTATAGGGCCAACACCAATTATTTTTTTTAAGTATGAATTAATATTAAATATATATATATATATATACTTAAAAAAATAAAAAATTAACACAGACTTTTCTCAATTAAAAAAAATTGTATTTATGAAAAGAAATATTTTAACCCTGATGTAATAAATTTCTTGTTCTGCCTTGTAATCGATCATTAAAAATTAAAAATTAGCAATCGAACTATTTATATATTTCGAATTTATCATTTTTCATTAAGAAGAAATGACGATATTCTCATATGAATATGTGTTGACTGGGATTTGTAGTCGTTTGAGTTTCTAAAATCAAATTTTATTATATCATAGTCAACATATTAATATCAAAACTCATACTATTGTCAATTTTAAATAGAAAATGTCGAATTTGAGATATATAAATAATCAAATGATCATTTTATAAATTTTAATAATCGAAAAAATTAATAAAATAATAATCTATAATAAAAAAATTATTTTATAAATTTTAATAATCTAAAATTTTAAGTAAAAGTAAGGAATATTTTTGTACTTTATGGATAAAATTTGAAACCGCCATAATAGCGCGTGATTAGCCGCCACGCAATCAATTTACTTTAACCTGTCCTTTATAACCTCTCTTTCCTTCGATACCCTAACTCAGTTTCTTGTTTCATCTCTGATTTTCCGTCCTTTCCCACTTCTTTGATTCTTCTCTAAACTTATTCTGCAGAAATTGCTTTATAATCTGTAGATTCCTCGCTGTTTGATCATGGGTGTTGAGGTTCTCAAACCAGAAGATTGTTTAAAGATTCCTAATCCCATGAAACACCCAAGAAATCCTCGCCATAATCCAAACCCTAACAATAACCGGACGAACCGCCGGAAGCGTTCTCCCAACGCCTCTCCCCCTTCTCGTCCGAGAGTCACCCTCCCAAAATCTCCGACCAAGAATCTCGTGATGGGTCAAGTCAAGATCCTCAAACGCGGCGAAGAAATTAAATCGTCTAAGCCGGATAATCCTGTAGAAAACGTTGACGTAGATCTGAGCGGTGAACATCTTAAAGGATCTAAGCCGGATAAGCCTGTAGAAAACGTTGACGTAGATCTGGGTTCTACTCTCCGTTCCGACCCAGATCTCGTGTCCGTTCCGACCCAGATGCGAGCCGCCGAGTCTGAAAATGACACCGATGAGGTAGTTCCGCCCTTCTTCTACGCCGGATCTGCCTTCGTAACATCGCCGCCGCCGAGTTCAGTCCCGTTGCCGGCGTTCTTCACAAAGAAGGTTGGGGTTGCTTTAAAAGATGACGTTGCCACGAACGTCCTGAGGGGGATCTTAAGGCTGGATTTGTAGGAGTTGGTGATTTGACTGAATTCGGTACGGAATTCTAATCTCTCTGTTTGGGTTCTCTAATCTTGGATCATCCCTTATTTTTTCAAGGGGAGAGATCAAATATTGCGAACTCAAAAAGGTTGGTTTAGTTAGATTTTAATCCGAGTTTCTCTGCTGTATAGCTTAGCAATTGTCTGCTTCGACATGCAAATACGTCTAGCATTTTTACCTTCTTCTTCTCTTTAGGGTTGTTATAGTTTCGCTTTTACAACTAGTTTTACTGGGTTTGTATTTAAATTAGGATTAGTGTATCAGGGACATGAATTATGTGGTTGATTTATGTATCCACTCGTTTATCAATGAAATCTTGTTGGTTAGTGTTGAATCCTGCCTGGTATAGAAGCCATGAACCGACAGATATCTGCAAATTATTAATTCTTATAATTTAGAAATCCAATACGTTAATCGCCGGAAAATTAACTCCGGAGCTCCGGTGGACGCTGGAAATGGAAATGTTTTCAAATATGCTCCGGTGGACTCCCTATGGAAACGCTCTCAAGGCGAGAATTCGCCTTTTTGGCTGTTTACCCGGGTAAAAGGTTTATAATAGGGTAAATTACATGGGTGGTCCTTTACATGTTCAGTCTGTTCGATTTTAGTCTTTTATTTAAAACAATTTATTTTAATAATTTATGTTATTGATTTAATGAATTTTGCTTTAGTTAATTCCTGTTGTGCCACTTGATTTAAGAAAATAAAAAAATCACGTGTTTTAATTTCACATTGAACAGCTGTGAATTATTGGAACTTCTCATCAACTTGCTAACTAATATTTTCGAGAAACTTATGAATGGGTTGAGTTATTTTATTATTATATTTTCTTAGTGTTGGTTAAAGTATGGTATGGTATGTTATTTGTATCGAGTTGTCTTTAAAAATATTTTTCAAGATGTTTTGTTCTCATGATGATTAAATCGTTACTTCGTTTGTCTTAAGTCGCTCAATTATTTTTACGGTTCCACCACAATTATTTTTTTTCAAAATAATCATTAAATTTATGTTTTTGTTCTGTTTTAGTCACCTAATTTGATTCACGAGTAAAGTCCCTCGAATGAACTGAAACATCGATCACACGTCTTGCAGCGGTGAACATTGATCCCGGTCATAACCATAGAAACCGGTTGGGTTTGCGATTTTCTCATTCGACCTCGAGCCAAAAGCATCAAATAATTAGCCGTGTGTTCGTCTTCCTTGGTGCATTCTGCAAGCGGCTACATCAACATCTGTAGCTGGAAAAGCAAACCTCCCCTCCAATCATCACCGTTTCTTCTACTTTCTCCTCCACTCGAAGATGTCACAGCCGTTGTCGTCGGGCTCGAAACCATCACCAAACTCAGAGGAGAGAGCTGCCTTCGGCGCTTACTACGTTTCCCTTCGATAATCTGCAACTGATCGTTGCAAACATCTTTCTCCTGACCCTCTATCATCATCATCACTCTAATCCAATATAGGTAATTAACAGATTGAAAGCCGAAGAATTTGGTTTGAAAGTATATTATGTTCCAACCCCCGAAAGTTACAAACCATATATAGATATAGAGAGCCGTAGAGGGGGAAGAGAAGGTGCAATGGGGGAGCATGGGAAGGCGAGGGAGATTCAATTGGCTTTGGAGCAAACGCATTACATTTTTCCCAACGATTCCTACTTGGATAATTGGTTTGCAAGACTGGAAGTCTGGAACCACATAATTTGCGCCTCACCACCTTTATTTTGCATTGCCTGGATCAATCTTAGGTTTAGTGATTATTTTGGGGGGGGGGGAATTAAGTGATGAAAACGGAATCGTGAAAATAATTGAGAGATTAAATATGTAATTTAGTTATGTTGTTTGTAATGGAGTTAATAATTTGGGGCAAATGAGGTAACGGATCAAATTTTATGGGATAAAATATCTCAAAAAAATACTTTAGGAGTCAATTCATACAAATGATATACTTTATGGGGCAACGGTGCATTTAAGCCTATCCTCTATCGACAATGAGGTATTCACCAGATAAATTTAGGGTAAATTGCATCGAATATTACAAAATTTTAAACGCTAAATTATTTATATTATCAGAATTTTAATTTTGTCAATTTTAATATTGATGTTTACTTTTAAGTTTAATTATGTTGTTAATTACTTAACGTGATTCAACTAATATTTCCTGTCGGTGGCATCCTAAACCCTCGCCATTTACCTTCAACAAGCTTTACTTTCTTCAAAGCTTTGATCGATTCTTTCGTCGCCAGAACTAGCTTCGGGGCTTCTTGCATCTACAACTCCATAGCCATTATCGCTGACCCATCATAATGTTCCTACCTCACAACCTTTTTAACTCGAAGTATTATCTTTATCATGTCATCAAATCCTTCTTCTTCCCTTTTTCTAAAATCGAGTTCGCATCAGTGAAAGCTTGCCATTATCAACACTGACTACTCTTGAAAACAACCATTATCATCCTCAAGAAACGTGCGAATATAAAGTAAGATTTCGATCTGAGAAATGCGAGGAGCCTTGGTTGGAGTCGGAGAGTAATCTACCGTCATTTGAAATCGAGGTTCCCTGCTTGCCATTATCAACACTGACTACTCTCTTGGAAAAAAAAGAAAAACCATTATCAACAGGTTAAACTCACGATATAATGCACTCAAAATAAATAATTCACGATCTAATGCACTGTCTATATTATTTGCTGAAATAAGGCGAAATCAACAGTGTGGCCGTAGGTCGCCATGCCTTTTGGGCGACCTACTACGTCGCCTGGCTTCCCGGGAAATAATCGACGTCTGCATGGCACATGCACGTTCCCAACAGGTCGCCATGCATTCCCCAACACCCCTACAAGGTCGCCAAGCACTCCCAGCAACCTACAAGGTCGCCATGCACTCCCAGCGACCTTGTAGGTCGCCAAGCAGTCCCGGAGACCAAGCTTCACGTGCTCCCCTCTGCTCCCGTGCTCCCCTCCTGCTCCCGCTGCATGCCTGCAGCGTGAAATCACCTGCTTCATGCAGCAATGCATGCATGTGAAGCCGTGAATTATTGGTTCAATTATTGAACCATTGCAGCGTGAAATCAGCTGGTGCAATTGCACAATTATTGGTGAAATAATTGAGGCAACCGGTGACATTATTGGTGAAATAATTAAGGCAGTCGGTGACACCTAAATTATATATGGGGTGTGCATTATCGTGAGAACATAAAAGAAAGAAATGGAGAAGAGATTGCAGCAGAAGAAAGGGAGAAGAAATTGCAGCCGAGAAAGAAAGAAAGGGAGAAAGGAAAGGAAGAAGAAGAAAGGGAGATAAGGCTCTTGTGAGGTAATTTTTTTATTTAAATTAGTTTATTATTATAAATGTTTAGTTTGTTAGTTTAGGGTTTAGAGTAAAACAAAAATTAGTTAATTAGTTTGTTAATTTAGGGTTATATGATTGTTAGTTTAAGTTATATTATACATAAATAAAAAATTATTTAATTAGTATGTTTGATAGTTATATAGTTAAAAAATAATTAATTAGTTTGTTTTGTTAATCGTTAGTTATATAAAAAAATTATTTAATTAGTTTGTGATAGTTAAATAGTTAAGTTATATTTGTTTGTTGAATTTATATTATATAAAAAATTAGTTAGTAAGTTTATTAGTAGTATATTATAATGAACATCATATTTTATTAGTTTTAGTTATATAAAAGAATATTTTATTAGTTGTTTAAGGGTTTAGCGTTTACGTTTAACTTATATTTTAAAAAGTCTAGTTTGTTAGTTTATTAGTTTATTATATTATAAGTTATTATATTAAAGTTTAGTGTTGTAAATTAGTTAGTTAGTTTATATTAGATTATATTAAATATTTTTTAAATATTGTTGTTTAATTTTTTTTACAGATTCATCCAATGGTTGACCAAATTCCACTGTTGAGGCTTGACAATGAACATATTTCAAGTCATTTGGGAATAATGGTGAATAAAATATTTGTTTAATGAATTATAATTAATAAATATTTGAATATTATTTTATGATTGTGATAAATTTTTTGAAATATTTAATTGCAGGAGGACGAGCAGCGAGTCCTTCGTCTTCGGCTACATAAAGTGCCCAAGCCACACAGATTGATAGAAGAAAACTTGCAGGAGGCTGGATTTTGGTATGTAACATTTGTGTGAGATTACAAGTTGGTCCCAGGTTTGATCAGTGCCTTGATTGAGCGTTGGAGACCAGAAACGCACACGTTTCATTTGCCGTGTGGCGAATGTACGATAACTCTGGAGGATGTGGCATTGTAACTCGGGGTCCAAACAAATGGGATGCCAGTGGTAATGTCACATGAGTTTAATAATGTGGCACAACTTTGTAGCTTGTTTCTTGGGAAAACGCCCGTACCACCAGAGTGTAAAGGGTGGCGTGTGAGGTTGTCATGGTTGAAGAATGAATTTCATCTTCAACCAAATAATACGGAGCACGAAATTATATATGCAACACGAGCATATATATTACAGTTGATTGGGGGTATTTTAATACCGGATAAATTCGGTAGTTATGTTCACACTCAATATCTTCTTTTTTTAAGAAATTTTGAAAATAGTAGGCAATATAGCTGGGGATCGGCGATATTGGCGTTCTTGTATCGTGAGATGTACAATGCGTCATTAGTCGTGAATGATAATAATACAGCAGAAATCAGTGGATGTCTGTTGCTGCTACAGTCATGGGCTTGGCATAGACTTCCGTTTCTGACACCGATTAGTCAGACTGCGGTTGACTTTCCGCTTGCCGGAAGGTAATATGAATTCTCTATTTTAATATAAAATATTAATTATAAAATAAAAATGACCATATTTTTGTTTTAATTGATATACAGATGGAGGCATAAAATTGAAGGCACGGGGTTGGTGCACAACAACATTAAAGAGTTCAGGCTGAAGATCGACATTAAGGCAAAAAAGGAGGTATGTATAATCTGTTATTTTTAATTATTATTTAAATTAACTATATTATTTAATTTAAATAAATTTTATTGTTTTTATAATTTTACAGTTTAATTGGAGACCATACATGAATGAAGAAATACTTGCGTTGATACCGCACGATATTTTAGATGGGTTTCAATATTGGTGTGCTGTTACACCATTGATCAATTTTGCTTTTGTTGAGATCTAATTTGGGGATAGAGTGTTGAGGCAATTCCACTTCTACCAACCTATTCCGCGGTGTCCATGGGATCATGACCTCCTCCAAATCTTAGATGGTCGTCGTCAGGTGAATTGGGTTGAGACGCATGACCAGCTGCACAGATTTGATGGTCTTCGTA